GGCTTCTCGCTTGCCCCTCGTTATCTGCCCTCCTGGAGTGCTCAGATGTTGATGGCACCCTTGCAGCAGTTCTGAGTCCTCTCTGTGAGAGTTTCCCACTGGCTGAGAGAGCCCGAAGAGCTATGGTTTCCCCGCAGAGGGCCACACCTCCCCCCTCCCTGGGAGCCACGCAACTGGAGTTGCCGATCTAGTGGGGAGGGAGAGGATTTCTCCTTACCTCTCCCCACTTCCTCCAGGGACCCCAGTACATCCACTCAGATGTGTGGCAGTGTGGGTCTTTCTGATGTCCCTTTGTGCTATTTGAGTGTCCCTTGTTGCTCTATGATTGACCCTTTTGTTGTATCTTATTGGGGGAAGAGTTCACGGGAAAGCTCACTCTGCCATGATGCTGACGTCACTCTTCATTTTTTTAACAGTGTCTTTGGAAGAGCAAAAGTTTTTCATTTTGATGAAATCAATTTTTCTTTTATAGTTTACGCTTTTGTGTCCTATTTAAGAAGTCTTTGTCTAACCCAAGATCCCTACATTTTCTCCTATGATTCTTCTAAAAAGTTTATAGTTTTAACTCTTAAATTTAGGTCTATGATCTGTTTTAATTTTTGGATACACACACATACACAATATGGATATCCAAGTGTTCAAACACTCTTTAATGAAAGATGATCATTTCTCCATTGAACTTCTTGGTACCATTGTCAAAAATCAATTGACCATGTATGTGTGGGTCTATTTCTGGACTCTCTCCATTCTGTTTCGTTAATCTAAATGTCTATCTTTACTCCAGTACCTCATTGTCTTTTTTGTGTGTGTGAAGAAGATCAGCCCTGAGCTAACATCCATGCCAATCCTCCTCTTTTTTGCTGAGGAAGACCGACCCTGAGCTAACATCTATTGCCAATCCTCCTCCTTTTTTCGCTTTTTCTCCCCAAAGCCCCAGTAGATAGTTGTATGTCATAGTTGCACCTCCTTCTAGTTGCTGTATGTGGGACGCTGCCTCAGCATGGCTGGACAAGCGGTGCTTGGGTGTGCACCCAGGATCCGAACCCGGGCCGCCAGTAGCGGAGCGCTCGCACTTAACCGCTAAGCCATGGGGCCAGCCCCCATCATTGTCTTGATTACAGTAAGTCTTGAAATCAAATAGTCTAAGTCCTCCATCTTTGTTCTTCTTTTTCAAAGTTGTTTTGGCTATTCTAGGTCCTTTGCTTACCAATTTTTACAAAATAACTTGCTTGTATTTGGATTTGGTTTGTGTTGGATTTGTGGATCAATTTTGGAAGAACTGACATCTTAACAATATTGAAATTTCTGATCCATTCACATCATCTATTTTATTTGTCTGTTCATTTAAATCTTCTTCAATTTTTTGTGACAGTGTCTTATAGTTTTCAGTGTATAGTGCTTGCATATTTTTTGTTAAATTTATTCCTAAGTATTTCATATATTTTATGCTATCGTAAAAGTTAATTTTTGTGTGTGTGTGTGTGAGGAAGATTAGCCCTGAGCTAACATCTGTTGCCAATCCTCCTCTTTTTGCTGAAGAAGATTGGCCCTGGGCTAACATCTGTGCCCATCTTTCTCTACTTTATATGGGACAGTGCCACAGCATGGCTTGACAAGCAGTGCGTTGGTGCGCACCTAGGATCTGAACTTGTGAACGCCGGGCCGCCGAAGCAGAGTGCGCACACTTAACTGCTCCGCCACCAGGCCGGCCCCAAAAGTTAATGTTTTTTAATTTTAGTTTTTTCTTCATTCTAAGTCACTCTGGTTATGAATTTTTATTATTTTTTGGTCTGGTAAAATGCATATCACATAAGATTTACCATCTTAACCATTTTTAAGTGTACAGTTTGTTAGTGTTAAGTATATTCATGTTGTTGTGCAACCAATCTCCAGAGCTTTTTCATCCTGCAGAGCTGAAACTCTGTGCCCATTAAATAACAACTCTCCACTTCCCCTGCCTATCAGCCCCTGGCAACCACTGTTCTACTTTCTGTTTCTCTAAGTTTGACTAATCTAGATACCTCATATCAGTGGAATTTTAATTTTAATTTGTACATTGCAGGTTTATAGTTATCTAATTGATCTTTTAATAGTGACTTTGTGTCTTGTGATCTTGTTAAATTCACAAGTTAGTTCTAGTAGTTTTTTGTTGATTCTTTGGATTTTCTATATGCAGGATCACGTCATCTGTGAATAACAAGAGATTTACTTCTCCTTTTCCAGTCTGGCTGCGTTTTATTTCTTTTACTTGCCTTCTTGCACTGGCTTGGACCTCTAGTAGAATGTTGAATAGAAGTGGTGAGAGCAGATATCCTTGTCTTATTCCTAATATTAGAGGGAAATCATTCAGCCTTTCACCATTAAGTGTAATGGTAGCTTTAGATTGTGTATAGATGACCCTTTATCAGGTTGAGGAAGGTCCCTTCTATTCCTTGTTTGATGAGAATTTTTGTCGTGAATGGGTATCAAATTTTATGGAATGCTTTTCCTGCATTTATTGAGAGAAATATAAGATTTTCTTTATTGTCGGTTAAATAGGTAAATTATGTACACTGTTTTTGATGTTATACCAACCCTGCATCCCAGGATAAACCCTACTTGGTCATGATGTATCTTTTTTTATATATTGCTGGATTTAATTTGCTAAAATTTTGTGAATGATTTTTGTGTCTATGATCATGAGAGATATCAGTCTGTAGTTTTCTTGTAATATCATTGTCTGGTTTTGGTAGCAGAGTAATGCTGGCCTCATAGAATTTGTTGGGGGGCCGGCCTGGTGGCATAGCGGTTAAGTTGACGTGCTCCGCTTCGGCGGCCCAGGGTTTGCAAGTTCAGATCACCGGCACAGACTGATGCACCACTTGTCAAGCTATGCTGTGATGGTCTCCCATATAAAGTAAAGGAAGATGGGCGTGTATGTTAGCCCAGGGCCAATCTTCCTCAGCAAAAAGAGGGGGACTGACAACGACATTAGCTCAGGGCTAATCTTCCTCACACACACACAAAAAAAAGAAGAATGAATTGGGAAGTGTTCTCTCCTGTTCTATTTTCTAGAAGAATTTGTGTATAATTGGTATTATTTCTTCCTTAAATGTTTTCTAGAATTCACCATTAATGCCATCCTGGCCTCAAGTTTTCTTTATAGAAAGGTTTTAACTATGAATTCAATTTCTTTGATAGATATAGGGTTATTCAGGTTATCTTCAGAGCTCTCTGCCTAGCTCTCTCCTCTTGGATATTTTGTGCCCCAAATCTTTGCAATCTTGGCCTTCCCAAACCTGAACTCTGTTCTTCTGAATTCAGCAGGACCACAGAGCTGGTTGAGTTTCCTTTGCATATGCTGTAGACGGGAGATTCCAGGCAGTAAGGTGGGGCAGATGCAGGGCTTACCACATTTGTTTCCCTTCTTTCAAGGATCATTGTCCTGTGCTACCTATTGTCCACTGTTTGAAAACCATTGTTTCATATGTTTTATCCGGTTTTCTAGAGTTTAGGCAGGAGGGTAAATCCAGCCTCTATTACTCCATCAGAACCAGGAGATGTCCCTTTATTGATTTTTCTATTAATGTGTTTCTTATTTATTTGTAAGAATTCTGTCCTATATATTCTACATTTTTCTTCAGTTTGTTATTTGCCTTTAAAACTTTGTATGTGGTGTTTTTCATGTTTATTCATTTAGAAAAATTTAATGTAATCACACCTCTTGATTTTGTCCTTTATGATCTTTTCTTTCTTTTATACTTGGGAAAGCTTTCTCTCTACCAGATTTACCTGTATTTTCTCAGAGTTCTTTTGTGGTTTCATTTTGCTTAAGAAATAATGTTTTTAAACAGACTCTGGAGAAACATTTTGTTCTGTTTTACTTTATTTTATTCAGCATATTTTACTGAGGTGAATAATACATTTGAAAACAATTTTGAGATGTATGTATTCTCTGACTCAGAATGCTGAGTTTTTTTTTAAACTTTCAGCTTTCTCATTTTACCATTTTATTGACTTGCATTTGAAAGTCTGGTAATTAATCTACAAGTTAAAGTAGCAGTGTATGTCCAGAGTTCTTTGGCTTTGTTTTCAGTTTTAGCTGCAGAGCCTGCTTTTTCCCCCGTTGTGTGTTCTTTCCCAGTCACTTCCTGAGTTAGTCTCCTTCTCATCTCCCTTTCTTTCATCCTCTCCTTACCTCTTCTCCCTCGTCACCATTCTCTCTTATCCTTTTTCTTCCTCTATAACTCCTCCTCTTTTCTTTTACCTTTCTTCCCTTATGTTTTTCTTTTTCTCCTCCTGTTTCTCCTTCGTGCCCCCTTTTCATCCTCCCTGCCTCCTGTACAGATAGGACGGATAATACAGTTTATTGCTATATCCCAGTGCCTATTCTAAGTGTCTGACAAATATTAGATCATCACTATAGATTCACTGAATAATAAATAATAGAATTTCACAGATAATAAAGAAATCTCTTACTCAATTTTTCCTGGAACCTGTGACAGTTGAGTTTAATAAACATTATTGTGAACCTATTATATGCCAGACACTGTGCCACATTCTTGAATCACAAAGGTGAGATTAACACATAGGCTCTGCTCTCAAGGAACTTACAGTATGGTGAGAGACATGAACAATAAATAGATGATTTTAAATCTTTATGCTAATACGTGGAAGAGGAACACTTTTAACCCAACCAGAAAGTTCAGGGAAAGCTTGCTGGAAGAGATGATGAGTAAGATCTTGCAAGATAAATAAAAGTAGGAAGGACAACAACATATGAATATACATACTGAACTGTACACTTAAAAATGGTTAAAATGGTAAATTTTGTTATGTGTATTTTACCACAATTAAAATAAAATAGTAGGAAGGGCATTCCAGATAGAGAGAATGGCATGATCAAATTGTCACCTAAAAAGTTGACCCTTAGGAAACTATGATGATGTATAGTCCTTTCTAACGCCTGGTTAATTATTTCAAACTGTGTTTTTACCTTCTTTTTTCTCCCTTCTTCTCAGAGTTGGGTATCAGAAATTAAAAAAGAAGAAAATAACGTACATTTTCATGAAACTGAAACATTTTCAGCAATGGAAGACAATCTGCCTCCAGTTCGTGGTTCAAACAGCCGTCTTCATGTTAGTAAGGTAGGCTGTTTTGGTGTGGGGTGTGGGTGGTAGGGGAGAAGGTTGTTGTTTATTAAGGGAGCTAGCTCAGTTTAATCAGAGTAGCCACAATGTAAGGTACTGTAGGAGAGTTGGGGGTTTTTTTCAGCTGGCATGTGCTATTACCTTCTTGAGTAGGCTGTATTTCATCACTTGGAGATCAAAATGAAACAGTGTTTTACTTAGAAGATTTGCATCTTGGGTTTACTGCCTTTCCTCATTTTTTCTTTTGTTGTTCTGTCTCTTCTACTCTGACCAGTTTTTATGAGCACATAAGATCCAATTCAGTGTGTGAGAACTTGAGGGAATAATTTTATATATCCAGTAGAGGCAGCGAGGAAATAATTTATTTCGTAATTAGATGTGGATTTAAAGTGTTCAACAGATACTTTCAAGCAGTTATAGATGACATTCCTCTGTTTAGTGCATGTGTTTTTCCCTTATCCTCAGCCCTTTATGATTATTTCTCTGTGGTTGATCCCTCTTTTGTCATGTAGACCTCTCCTTGTTAACCCTTGGGTTCCATAGAGAAGGGGCCTGTTGGAGTTGCAGGTCCATTTTACTTAACTTCAAGTTGACACTGAGCTTCTAGGCGTCCACTTGACCCTGATATTACGGAATCTAGCCCTTGTCTCCTGGGCATTGGGAGTCTCTGGGCTTTCACTTGGATCACACATTCTATTCCCTTTGCCCTCCTTTTTTTCTTTTATTCCTACCATTTTAGAAAGGATGGCTCCTCAAGTCTCTTCATTCTGAGTTAACTCATTCTTGTTATTCTCATCTCTTCTTTGAATCCTCAATTTTATTTAAAAAACCACCCATAGCCCTTCATCACTCTGCTCTCTGATAATGTACCTTCCTGGATCTTTTTACTCCCCATTAGAAATTACTCAGGTAATTGATGTACCCAGTAATATGGTAAGGATGCCACTATCTGTAGTCAATGAATTTGTATTTATTGAACACCCATTATGTGCTAAGTCTGTGCCCTGAAAATATAACAATGAATAAGACTTGATTTCTGCCCTTGAGGAGCTTATAGTCCAGTGGGGTAGACAGCCTGGTGGTACAGTGGTTCTCAAAGTATGGCTGTGACCCTGGTTGTCCCAGAGATCCTTCTAGGGGGTCCAGAAAGTCAATGGTATTTTAAAAAATAATGCTAATGTTTTGTCTTTTTCACTGTGTTGACATTTGCACTGAGAGTAAAACTGCTCAGGTGCCTTAGCACAAATCAAGGCAGTGGTGCCAAACTGTACTAGTGATCCTTGTTTTCTCCACTGCTGTGCACTCACAGTAAAAAATTCCAGTTTAACTTAAAAATGTCTGTGGTGAAACAATAAACCTTATTTATTTTGTTAAATCTTGAATCTTGAGGACATGTCTTTTTAATATTCTGTGTAACAAAATGGGAAGTATACAGAAAGGACTTTGCTGTGAAGTGAAATATGATGGTTATCTCGAGAAAAGCACTTGTATGATTGAGTTGCCAGCTTAAGTAGCTGCTTTTTTCTGGAAAAATTTTTACTTGAAAGAGTGACAGACAAACTATAGTTATTCAAACTTGGATTTTTGGCAGGCATTGTATTGAAAATGAACAAAGTGGGCCTGTCACTTTAAGGAAGACTACCAACAGTATTTTTTGCCAGTGATAAAATCTGAGCTTTCAAGTGCAATTTAGAGTATTTTATATTCTTATGTGGCTCTTGAATACCTGCTTGTAACAAGAAAATTTCCCCTTAAGGGGGATACTTAAAGTCTTTTCTGACAAGCTCCAAGAAGATATTAACAGATATGATTTTTTAATTGTATAATGAAATGTATGAATATTTGGAAGATGTGCATAACTCCAAATGACCAGTGCACAATGTTACAAAATTGTGTGTGGGTAAATAGCCCATTCAAAATGGTTTCAGATTATGACTGACTTTTAAGAAACAATTTAAGAAGCTATTTGTAAACATAATGGCTATTGTTTGCTTTCCTCCATTCCCTTATGGTGCTCTCAGTGGGCATGTGACCTAGGTTGGGCCACTTAATAGCACCAAGCTAGTGCTTAGTCAGGGATGGGCACATGAGCCAAGCTAGCCAATCAGAGTCCTTCCCTGGGATTTCTCTAACTAAAGATGGAGAGAAGAGTACCTCTCTTTTTCCTTTCTGATTGGGAGGCCCGTGAGGTTATAATCCCAGACTGCTTGTGGCCAGGTTTCCTACTACATGGAAAAAGCAAGTAGCCAGCGGGAAAACGAAATCAGTAGGCAGTGAGAAGCAGAGACTAGGGACAGGGGGAGAGAAGGAGAGCTGAAGGAGAGAAGGAGAGAGAAGGCATATGAATCCTTGGTCTAGCAATATCCCTGCCCTTTCATCAGTTTGGTTACGTAAGCCAATAATTTATTTATTTTTTAATAGAATTAGCCCAAGTTCGGTGTCTGCCATTGCAAACAAAACAGCTCTAATACAGCAAAGAAGTTATTCTTATTTCTCCAGTGTGTAACTTTTAAAAGAATGAATGATAGTTTAGTACTTTTTTATTTTAAGAAAATCACAAATAATCACATTTCACAAATGTGAGTTTTTAAATTTTGTGTATGTACTTTAAGTCCTGTAAATTGCTCCCAGAATTAATTACAAATTTAAAATCCTCTTTTAACCTGCTGTATATTATGTTAATAATTATAATACTGGAGTTATTTTAGCTACAAGAGTACCTATGTTTCTTATCCATTCAATTCATATATCTTAATCCAATAGTTTACATTGCATTTATAGTAAAACCTGATAATCTTATATTAAATATGTCTCATAAAATATGATTTTATTTTTTCAGGAAAAATACTCTAAAAGTAAGCCAGCTAAAAAGAAAATTCCGAGGGATTATGCAGAGTGGGATAAGTATGTTTTATATTTCTTTATATAAAATTTGTCACTGAATAATTCTCTACCATAAAATACTGTAATAACTTCTTAATTATTACAAACCTGAACACATCAAGAGTACCAAGTTACTGCAATACAGTACTAGGAGTATACAGTCTAAGCACTTTTTGATCTTGATTTTTAATTAAGTAAAAATTAACTGCATCCTTTTGTTTATAAGAGCAAACAAAAATAACTAATGTAATACCCATCCACAATAAAAAAGAATAAAAATTTTAAATTGAGAGAAATTGGTCATAATTTTAATTACAAAGTTCTGAACAGTTTAGGTCTGATTAATATATGAGTCTTCACTAAATTGCATGGTTTCTAAGAGAGAATACAGATGACTTGTAATACAAACTTATTATGCGTTTTTGGAATATGTCTCTAAAGGCACAGTGAAACAAATACAAGATTGTCAATAATAAATTTTATTTTCTTGCTTGTATTGTACTTTTTTTCAGTTTTTATTATTCTTTTGTTTAAGATTTGACGTGGAAAAGGAATGTTCAAAAATTGATGAAGATTACAAAGAAAAAACTATAGTAAACAACAAGTCACATTTGTCTAAAATTGAGACGAGAATAGACACAGAAGGTAATTGGGGGAAAATAAGAGTAATTTAGTACTCTTTAAATTTTTTGAATTATAATAAAAGCTTTCAAACTGGAAGACATTCTCTTTAAGTGCTGCAGATTTCCATTAAAAGTTTATGGATGGGGCCAGCCCCGTGGCTTAGCGGTTAAGTGCGCGACTCTGATACCGACGGCCTGGGTTCGGATCCCGGGCGTGCACCAATGCACTGCTTCTCCGGCCATGCTGAGGCCGCGTCCCACATACAGCAACTAGAAGGATGTGCACCTATGACATACAACTGTGTAGTGAGGCTTTGGGGGGAAAAAAAAACGGAGGAGTGGCAATAGATATTAGCTCAGAGCCGGTCTTCCTCAGCAAAAAGAGGAGGATTAGCATGGATGTTAGCTCAAGGCTGATATTCCTCACAAAAGAAAAAAAGAAAAAAAGTTTATGTTCTCCTAGAGTTGGCCACCTCCAACAAATTCAGTTCTGTCCTTTAACTGCTTAATTTTATATGAGTAATAGTTATACTACTTAAATTTAGTAAGACTTAAAAATATAAACCTACTTTTTTACTGTAATTCTTTTGTTTTTCATTCCTTTTTTCAAAGCATCTTTTTCTTCTAAATCCCTCAAATTTTTTTATTTTTGCCTCAAAAAAATGAAACAGTTTGTTTTTATTTGAAGTCCATAGGCATATAGCACCTTTAAAGTGAAACAAAACCAATCAAAAAAATCTAAACCTTCAAAAATTATGAATGATTAAAAAAAAAAGAAAAGAAACATTCTTAAACTTAGAAAACCTTTTATTTTCTTTTATTTATTTTACAATTTTCTGCTTCTGTTAAAATAAGCATTCTTGGATTTTAATTTTCAAAAAATTATATTAAATTATATTTTTATGTATAGCAGATAACATTTATTTCTAGGTCTAACTGAGAAGGAAAAAGATTTTCTTGCTACTCATGAAAAGGAAAAAGGAAATGAAGCTTTCAACTCAGGAGATTATGAAGAGGCTGTGACGTATTATACTAGGTAAGCAGATTTTTGTTGTGGTTTAAACTTAACATTTAAAAAAAGATAATTTTTAAATTTAATTGTTGAAATGATATAAATAAGCTAAAAAGTCTGTGTCAGAATCACTCCAGATATTGTACTTGTGATTTATCATAAATTCACTTGTGTTTGCCTTGTTTTTTCAATACTTTTCTTAAACCCCTAAGCTCCCACCCCAATCCCACTTTTGACAGAGGTCCTAACTTTCCTGTTTTACAGAGAAAATAGAAGCCATCTGAATGGAACTTGACAGAAAGTCCACATAGCATAGAGGTTAAGAACTCAAGTTCTGCAGTCAGACTGCCTGGATCTACTCCTAGTGCTTATGCTGCTACCTCCCACCACAGGGCCTTTGCATATGATGGGTCCTCTGTCTAGAATACTCTTCCCTCTTCTCATTATCTACTTAATTCTAAATTATCCTTCAGATATCAGCCCTTGCCTCACTTCTTTGGAGAAGTCTTCCTTTACCTTCCAGACTAGGTTAAATTTCCTCCCACTCTATACCACCCCCTCCAATTTTTATAGGCTCTTATAGCAATCTTACTTCTCCTTTTTAGTACTTGTTGGAGGTATAATTTAAGTTTATGTGGTTTGATACTAACTGGACTGGAAGCTCTGTAAGAGCAGAGCCCACTTGTCAGTTTTTTTATACCACTGTATCTCCAACGCCCAGCAAAGTACCTGGTTCATGGTAGATGTTCAATGAATACTTGCATGAACTTTTGAAGCTCTTACAATCTATGAAAAGTAGACTAATTTCCTAAAATATTGTTATAGACAAACTGCGCTTATAGAATCACTAATTTTAGAACTAAACTCTGTACAATTTTCCTTCCACCAATTTTTTTTCACATTGTTTGTGTCTCTAAAGAAGTTTGTCTCAACTGTTTAAGTGAACATATAAGGTAAAGAGGATATTAATGTATCTTTCATTCAGTACAGCCTCTCCTGTTCAGGCAGGTGGCTGTCAGCTCCCATATCCTTCTCTCTCTTCTTGTAGAAAGTGGAGAATCTCGTCTGTTACAGGGGACAAAATTCTTCTTGTCTTCTTCTTTTAGGAAATCACAGAGGTGAAGAATTAAAGCAGTATAGCATAATGATTAGAGGAACTCAGACGTTCTGACCTTGAGCAGATTCTTCACCTCACTCGTCTCAGTTTTCTCAGTGTGATGAGGCTACCTCAGAGCAGCTGTGAGATTAAATAAAACAACATGTCAAAAAGCAGGATAACATGGTGGTAAAGAGAGCAGGGCTGGAGTGGACTGTTGGGGTTTGAATCCTGACTCGACCATTTACTAGCTGTGGCCTTGGGCACATTTGTTTTCTCATCTGTAGAATGGGAGGAGCAGTAACACCTCCTCCACAATTGTAATGAGGATTAAATGAGCTTAGTGCTGAGTGCCTGGCATGTGGGAAGTACTCAGGGTCACGGACTTGGATTATTTATTCTTTCATGTGTTTTCCATGTTTGGTCTCTACCCAACCATGTTATTTCTTTATATTCATCTTTTGTGATCTTAGTAAATTGACAGTTTTTGTGACTTTTCCATTTTCATCTTGTGTTCTTCTTCTGGGTTTAGAAAATTCAATGCACCAATACCCATATCTTTCCTATGTCTAGGAATACATTATTTCACAGCATTTCAAATCAACTTTTTAAGTAACAGCCAAGTAGGTTTTAAATTCTTCTTTTCATTTATTATTTTGCATTCATACCCTTAATGTAGCAAAATTTGCTCTCTTAAAGTCTGTCTTCCTCAATGACTACTACTCTCCTCTGTTTCCTTCAATTAAATTCCTTTGATTAAATTATGATCATTTCCTTAGAGTTAAATCTACTTTTAGATTACAAACTAATTTGTGTCTGTTAACACAGTAACAACTTAATAAAGGATATTAGTTGTGGTTGATTGCTCCGTTTTTTTGTCCTAGGAAATCGTCCCCAAGGAATCAGAAAAATGTATCTGATATTTGATGTTAACGTAACTGGTTTTTAAGGAGGTCTATGGGTATTGAAATACCATGTCTCCTCTAAAGCCAGAGTCAACTTTAAGCCTCTTAATTGGATATTTAAGCATCTGTCTAAATATTGATTTACTGTGTTTATAGAATTGTGTTTTATGACTTTTGATGATGCAGGCAGTTTTAGTTTTCCAGGGCTGCCATAACAAGTACCACACACCGAGTGGCTTAAACAACAGAAATTTATTTTCTCACATCTCTGGAGGCTGAAAGTCTGAGATCAAGGTGTTGGCAGTGTTGGTTTCTCCTGAGGCCTCTCTCCTTGGCTTGTAGTTGGCCATCTTTTCTCTGTATCTTCAAGTGGTCTTTCCCTGTGCTTATCTGTGTTATAATCTCCTCTTCCTATAAGGACACCAGTCATACTGGATTAGGGCACACCCTCATGACCTCATTTAACTTAATCATCTCTTTAAAGCCTATCTTCAAATATAGTTACATTCTGAGATACTGGAGGTTAGGACTTCAATATGTGAATTTTGAGGGACACAATTCTGCCTATAACACAGGCTGTAGTTGTTTTATTTACAACTTTAGTTGAGTTTCTCTATCTTATGTTTCCCTCTGGTCTGCTTATTGCCAATAAGTGTCTCTTTTATAGGAGCATATCAGTGCTTCCCACCATAGCGGCCTATAACAATCGCGCTCAAGCAGAAATCAAACTACAGAACTGGAACAGTGCTTTTCAGGACTGTGGAAAGGTCTTGGAGTTAGAACCTGGAAACTTAAAGGGTAAAAATATTCATAGAATGCTTTTAAATTTACAGCAGGATCTGTTAGAGACTCATTATGTTTACACTAAAAATATTTCACATAAACTCGAATTTCTATATGTGAATCATTACCTTCATGAAGTTACTTTTCATTTCCAATTTAACTTGGAATTTAAGTTCCTGATTATTTGCACTGAAGTAGCTAATAATCCCAGAAGATTAAATAAAATGTATGTATTTCTAAAGAAATATCTCAAGCTTGCATTTGAACTGTGATTTGTTTTTTTCTTTTAATTTTTTTTACTGTGGTAAAATACATGTAAAATTTACCATTTTAATCATTTTTAAGTGTACAGTTCAGTGGTATTAAGTACACTCATATTGTTGTGCAGTCATCACTACCATCCATCTCCAGAATTTTTTTCATTCTGCAAAACTGAAACTCTGTACCCGTTAAATAACAACTCTCTATTCTCCCCTCCCCCCAGTCTCTGGCAACCACCATTCTACTTTCTGTCTCCATGATTTCCTAGTCTAGGTACCTCATATAAGTGGAATCATACATTTATCTTTTTGTTACTGGCTTATTGAACTGTATCTTTTTATCTAAAAAATATTTAAGTATAACTTAATATAGATTTTCCGATATTTATTAATATAATATAATGAGCTCACACCAGAGCTGTAGAATCTTCTACCTGCTGCTTTGTGGGCATTTCCACCTAGATGTCCATAGACATTTTAAATTAAACTGATACTGAGCAGTGGGCTTGCTCTGCTTGCCACGATCTGAGCCAATTAATCACAACAAGTTAGAGATCGAGAAATGAAGTTTAATTAGATGAGCCGGCAAGTTGGAAGACAGGTAACTAATGTCTCAAAAGATCCATCTTCAAAGATTACAGAATCTTGAGGCAGTTATATAGGGAAAATGGGCAGTAAGGAGGGGGTCCAGGGATGTTGGTCTCCAGGCGTGACGGGCTCCAGGCATCACATTGTTCCATTCTTCTGTCGGCTGTGATGGATACCTTGTAGGTGTGTTTCCCACCTGTGGTCAGCCTGTTCCTGGAGAGAAACTCATGGAACAAAGTTTCTAATTTATCAAGCTATTGGAGAATATATATGTAAGTGGAGGCCATAAATCAGGAGAGCATGTGAATTTTTTGGAGTACGTGCAGAGCAGTGAGTAGTCACACAGAGGAGGGGCTGGGGCCATTTAGTGTAACAAGATGGCCTCATTTCTGCTCACTTGCGAAACGTGTCCAAAACTGACTACATCTTTCCACCAAAACTTGTACTCTGTCCTGATTTCCTGTCTCTGTGACTGCACCACCTTGCCATGGTCCAAGCCTGAAATAGGCAAGTCAGACTCCACTCTAGTTTTCTGTTAACAACAAAGAATCTTTCCAAGAGGGAGTGGCATAGATTACAAGACACTCATTCTATTTCATTAAACATTTATGGATTCAACTAAATATAAACACTTTTTTCACGTAGATTGTACCCTTTTGTGCTTACAAACATGAGTGAGCAGAAACCGTGGGTGTGCTGAGGGGGGTCTTGGTGCATCAGCACCGACTGTCATTATCATGGATTGCCCTCCTTTCACCAGTGAAGTCCTGTTGTGCCTGTATTTTGTCTCTGCCGCAGAGTGTGAGTGGGCTCCCAGCTTCAGGCGGATGCCTGGTAAAGGTTTTACGATCTCCTGATAGGCCCACACCACCACTGTGCCAGGCCCTATGCCAAGCACTTTACGTGTGTTACCTCCGTTAATTTTCGCAACAGCTCAATAGAGGTGCAGGTACTATTATTAGTACACTCACTTTACAAAAGAGGAAACTGAGACATAAAAAGATTAAGCAACTCACCCAAGAGCAGACAAATGGCAGAGCCAGAACTCAGCACTGGACAACAGACTCCAGAGCCCACATTCAACCACTGTGCTACTTTTCTGTGACTAGAATGGCCTTATGTTGTCATTCTTCATTGTTTGAGTAATTTCTTTCTTTCTTTCTTTCTTTTTTTTTTTTTTGTGAGGAAGATTAGCCCTGATCTAACATCTGTCACCAATCCTCCTCTTTTTGCTGAGAAAGACTGGCCCTGGGCTACCATCCATGCCCATCTTCCTCCACTTTATATGGGACGCGGCCACAGCATGGCTTGACAAGCGATGCAAGGGTGTGCACCCGGGATCCAAACCTGCAAACCCCAGGCCGCCGAAGCGGAGTGTGCATACTTAACTGCTAAGCCACTGCGCTGGCCCCCGAGTAATTTCTTAAGCACCAGAAACTTCACTATTTAAAAAACAAATTTGAGAGAGCCAAATCTAGTAATGAGTATGGCCATAAAACATTAATATGTTTGCTTAAGTGAATGAATAACTTCCTCTTCAAAATTTTATTTTTTACTCAAAAGATAATGGTTCTAAATGCAAGGTGGTATTTGGTTTCCATCCTGGAATGGAAAAAGGATATTGGTGGAAAAATTGGTGAAATCCAAAGAAAGCCTGTAGCTTAGTTAATAGTATTGTACCAATGTTAATTTCTTAGTTTTGACAAAAATACCATAGTTACGTAAGATGTTAGCATTAGGGAAATCTGAGTGAAGGTATGTGAGAACTCTCTGTTTTATCTTTGCAACTTTTCTATAAATCTAAAATTATTTCCAAAATGAAAAGTTTAAAAAAATGATAATTGTTATATCATGAATATTTCTTGATAGATATTCCTTTCTGAAATCTAAGTAGTAATAATAATAGCTAAACTTGTACTTAAAGTATAGCGCTACAATTTTGATTAAATTTATGACAAAATGATTTATCCTTTGGATTTTCATGGCTCATTCTAAGACTAAAATCAAATTGGTCAAATTTATGTTTTAAAATAGTGTATTAAAATATATCAGATATAAATCTCTCACTTTTCAGAATTTCCAAGTGTAATTATTTTCAAAGTAATGACTTATTACACCAAGTTCTCTCATTATGTAATGGATAATGATGAGACTAGAAAGACATTCATTTTCAGTATTAAATAATTATCAAATTATACATTGAAACCTATGAAAAAATCTGATGCAAATTACCAAAGTGCTCAATTTCTGAACCTAGCTGACTTAATCATCAGGATTCTCTCAGCTCCCTGTGTGAAATACCTCCTTCTAATCATTTAGAGATTGCTGTAGACTTCAATAATGACCCTATGTTCTGAGCCAGATGCTGGTCAGTAATATACTAAATTTGAATAAAGGATTTGCTAAGTTTTCACAAAGTGATAAAATAATACTAGTGATGATTATAAGGAGAAAAATGTTATTGTTTAGTGAAAAGCTTCCCAATATTGCAGCACAGCATGGTGCCTCTGAAGGGTGGAGGTAGGGGGTCTCTCAGCCCTTGGAGGAGCTGGCAGGGCCTGGGGCTGCCTGAGGGCCAGGCTGTTGGTGGGGACAGTTGCCTGATGCAGCCTCTTCTGTTTACCTCAGTGTCATCTTCTTTATGTGCAACAATGTGAAAATGGGTGTAGTTAAGCTTTGTACAGTTGCATCCTAAACTGTTCAGCGCTACTTATATTCTTTCACTTGAAAAATATGTTATAACCATGATGGCATATGTTAAAAAATGTAACTTTTATTTTGGTAAATTTTTAGCTCTTCTGCGCCGTGCCACTACATATAAACATCAAAACAAGCTCCAGGAAGCTATCGAAGATTTGAGGAAAGTGCTAGAGGTTGAACCTGATAATGAGTTGGCCAAAGTAAGTACAGAAAATGATTCTTCACCTAATTCTATAGTTTGTTATTTTTGTATTTATGATATTAATCTTGCTGGATAAACGATGTTGAGGATTAGGTCACAGCTCTAAAAAGTATATCCCAGACACCCTGAAGTGTTAACATAAATTTGAAGTGGAAGAAAGCAGGCTCTTAAATTTCCCAAAACTATAAACCTAATTCTGAAGGACAAATATTTGTTTATTTATTTATTATAATTGACATGTAACATTGTATATATTTAAGATGTACAACATGTTGATTTGATACATTTGTATATTGCAGTATAATTACCACCATAGCATTAGCTAACACCTCCATCACGTCACATAATTATAATTTGTTTTTTGTGGTAAGAATAATTAAGATCAAGTCTCTTAAACACTTTGAAGTTTATAATACAATGTTGTTGACTATAATCACTATGCTGTGCCTTAGATCTCCAGGACTTATTTATCTACTAGTTGCAAATTTGTACTCTTAAACAGCATCTCCTCAGTGCCCGTACTCCCCAGGCCCTGATAACCACCATTCTACTTTATTTTTGTGAGTTCAGCTTTTTTAGATTCCACATATAACTGATATCATACAATAGGGACAAATATTTACTTTTTCTCTGTCCTGCAGTGTTGTAGGCAATGCTTTTCTCTGAGCTAATCTCACTTTATTATGCAGAGTGGTATAGAAGTTTCCTAGATAGGATTAGGCACGAGCTCCATGGCCATAGAAGAGTGCGTGGTAAGCATAGCAGCACTGGCAGCCTGTGCTGCCTGACTCAGCAGACTAACTCAGCTATGCACTTAGAGGGATCCATGTTAAGGCCTAAAGAGTAGAGGTAAGTGTCGAGAACTGTGAAGGGTCTGAGATTTTACCCTACTTGCAAATTAACAAAGTGACCTGAGAGAAGATACAAGACTCCTGGAACAGACACAAAAGACTTTGTTACTCACAGCGTGGCAAGCCAATAAGCTTCAAGTTTATGTCAGTTCCCCTGGCCCCCAAGTCCCATGGGAGTGGTGCAGAGTGGCCCAGATAGATGCTACACACTCAGTGGTTTTGTGTCACAGTTTAGGAATCTTAAATTTAGGAAACCCCCATCTTTTATAATGGGATATAAGCAAATCTTCCCAAAATTCTGTTCTGGTGGGAAACATTATTTTACTGGAGAGCAAACAAACCTGCTCTCTCCTCTGCAGGGAAATATTGTCTCTGTTTTCCAAGGCTGTTCTCAGTACAAACATCCTTAAAAAGACAGCCCAGAACAAAGGTTGTTTAGTGCCTCTGCTCACAATATATTCAGAAATGTGAGAAACCCGTGGAGAACTGGCTTCCAACAATAAGTTGTCACTGTTTCCACATACATCTTGGGTTATCTCACTCTCTCTGAGTGGCAGCTAATGTCCCTAGTGTATCGGCTACATTTGTCAAGTCAGCATTTCAGTGGATTAGGTTTAGGCTTAGGAACACATCTTTTCCCCGTAGTATTTCCTTTTTATAATGGTATGTTTATTGAAAAGTTAATGTAACTATTCTAAAAGAAAAAATTTGAAATAAGGAAAACTACCTTAAATTTCACTACCCAACACATTTCATGATTACATGTTAACTTTTAGGCTTCAAACAAATGTTTGCTTTTTTTTTTTTTTTTGGTGAGGAAGATTGGCCCTGAGCTAACATCTGTGCCAACCTTCCTCTTTTAGCTTGAAGAAGAATAACCCTGAGCTAACATCTGTGCCAATCTTCTTCCATTTTTGTTTGTGGGATGCTGCCACAGCATGGCTCAACAAGTGGTGTGTAGGTCCACGTGTGGGATCTGAACCCACGAACCCTGGGCCACCGAAGCAGAGAGTGTGAACTTAACCACTATGCCACCAGGCCGCCCCCAAATAAATGCATTTTGATCTTAACCATATGCAAAGATTAACTCAAAACAGACCATATACCTTAATGTAAAACATAAAATATAAAAGTTCTTGAAGAAAACATAGGAGAAAATCTTTATGAACTTGGGTTAGACAAATATTCCTTAGATAGTGACACGTGGCACAGTCCATAAAAGACAAAGTCAATAAATTGGACTTCATCAAAATTAAAAACTTTTGCTCTTTGAAAGACACTATCAGAAGAATAAAAAGACAAGCCACAGGCTAGGATAAAATGTTTGCAAATCATGTATCCAACAAAGGACTTGTATCAAGAATATATGAAGAATTTTTATTTATTTATTTATTTTTCATAGTTCACTGTTTTTTTTTTTGTTGTTTTTTGTTTTTTGTTTTTTATTTTTGTGAGGACAATCAGCCCTGAGCTAACATCCATGCCAATCCTCCTCTTTTTGCTGAGGAAGACTGGCCCTGAGCTAACATCTGTGCCCACCTTCCTTCACTTTATGTGGGACTCCGCCACAGCATGGCCTGACAAGCAGTGTGTCAGTGCACGCCCGGGATCCGAACCCGGGCCGCCAGCAGTGGAGCGTGCGCACTTAAGTGCTACGCCACAGGGCCGGCCCCCTATGAAGAATTTTTAAAACTCAATAATAAGAAAACAAACAGGTAAATAACAAATAGGCAAAATATGTGATCATACACTTCACAAAAAGAGATATGTGAATGGAAAATAAGCACATGAAGAGATGCTCAATATCATTAGTCACTAGAGAAATCTAAATTAAAACCACAAGAGGTACCACTACGAACCTGTTAGAATAGCTAAAATTAAAAAGATTGACCATACCAAGTGTTGACAGGGATGTGGAGGAACTGAAACTCTTGGGAATATAAAAATGATACCACCACTTTGGAAAACAGGTTGACCGTTTCTTAAAAAGTTAAATATAAAATCATACACCTACCATATGATCCAACCATCCAATTCCCAGCTATTTACCCAAGAAAAATGCAAGTGTATGTCCATACAAAGATTTATGCACGAATGTTCATAATGGCTTTATTTGTAATCACCCAAAACTAAAAACAGCCTAAAATGTCCTTCAGCAAGTGAATGGATAAACAAGTTGTGTTATAGCCATACAGTGGAATACGACTCAGCAATAAAAAGGAATGAACTGTAATAGAGACACACAACTACATGGATGGATTTCAAAATAATTATGCTGAGTGAAAGAAGCCAGACAAAAAAGAGTCCATACAGTGTGATTCTATTTATGTAAAATCTTAGAAAATGCAAACTAACCTATCTTGACAGAACAGTCGTTACAGGGAGGAACAAAAGGAAGATATTACAAAAAGACAGGAAAAAACTTTTGGGAATAATGGATATGTTTATTATTATGTCAAAACCTATCAAGTTGTGCGTTTTAAGTAGGTGCAGTTTGTCAGTTATACATACCTCAGTAAGATGTTAAAAATGGGGAAGGAAAATTGTTGATATATATATTTTTCATTCTAGTTGGCATAAAATATTAAAGAACTTTCAACAATTACTCTAAAAAAATCATATGTAGTATGATTTAATTAATTTAATATCTCTGAATGTATATATACATATGTCAACGAATAAGAGGCATAAACTACAAGAGAAGCAAAAAGTTTATTTGGGTTCTCAAGAATTGCAATTTGGGGAGCACAGATTCAGGTAGAAACCCAAGTAGTGTCCTGCTAGGGAGTAAAAGTCAGGGGCTGTTAAAGGCAAAGAAGGGAGGTTGTATTAGAAAGCATTTTAATTGGAGTTGGAGGCAGAGAGCTAGTCATGGCTAAACATTGATTGATATTGATTCTATCTTCAGCAAGTCCACAATCCTCAGTCTTTGTGGTCAGGATGTCCATTCTTCTGCTGACTTCTCAAACAATTGCTTATAAAACAATTGCCGTTTTGGCCCAGTCCAAAGGTTTGGCCCAGTCCAAGACTCAAGACAGCGAGGCGGTTTCTCTGGGAAGGCAGCTCTGACTTCACTTAAAATGGCTCCATTATGGTCAATTTTGACACGTAAGAACATATCTAGGAAGACGATCATCAGAATTTCAATAGTGTTATCTGAGTGGTAGGATTTCAGATGATTTTTTCTTTCTTTTTGTACTTGATATGCCTTAAGTTTTTTACAGTAGACATGTATGATTATAATCAAACAAAGCAATGAAGTTGTTTGAAAAAAAAATCACCATAAAAACCTTATCTTAGTTATCTTTATTCACTTTTTAATACTATCTTCATATTCTCACCTGAAAGAATGGTTATATTTTTTTATTAAAGGAAAACATTTTCTTTAATGGTGTTTATGTTGCAGAAAACCTTGTCAGAGGTTGAAAGAGATCTGAAAAATTCTGAACCTGCATCTAAGACTCAAACGAAAGGGAAAAGGATGTTTATTCAGGAGGTAGAAGACGCAGAAAATGAAGATGGAAAGAACAGTGGAAAAAACCCTGAAGATGGCAGTGGAGATAAGAGTAAAACATCTTTTCTCTTTTGGTTATGCAAAAAGCTACCTTTTTATATGATGAGCTGGCTCAAATTTTCTATTTGTATAGAAATTCTTAGTCTGTCAAACTGTTTCTAGCTGTGCTTTGTAAATCCACAAGCAAATTTTTCCCTAATCTTTTTCTTAATATAGCTCATCTTTTTCTTTTCCTTTTTATTGAGGTATAATGGATATATAACATATTAGTTTCAGGTGTACAACATAATGATTCGATATTTGTATATATTGTGAAATGATCACCACAATAAGTCTAGTTAACACAGCTCATCTTCTTTTTTTTTTTATTTTATTTTTTATTTTTTTTAAAGATTTTATTTATTTTATTTTTTCCCCCCAAAGCCCCAGCAGATAGTTCTATGTCATAGCTGCACATCCTTCTAGTTGCGGCATGTGGGACTCGGCCTCAGGATGGACGGAGAAGTGGTGCCTCGATGCGCACCCGGGATCCGAACCCGGGCCGCCAGCATTGCAGCGCGCGCACTTAACCACCAAGCCACAGGGCCGGCCCCACAGCTCATCTTCTTAATACAATCTCCCAAACCCATTTTTCTTCTTAACCTGACACCTTTTTCTAGTGCTCAATGTAATTCCTGATGATCACCTTTAAATGTAAATGGCTGTATCTATACGACATCAACCATTTAAGTTATCCTTAGATCTTTTTCTTAGATGATTGTTTTGTATATAGCTACTTGGTTGCAAACAAATATGTTGGCTTCAAAGGGGGTATATGCCTAAAATGAATGCAGTGTTGGAAAATTGCTATACGTGAATCTCAAAAAAAAATTTTTAAATATGCAATTTCACCTTTGATATCTTTTTTTAGAAAGCATCTAGATAAAGCTTAATCTTCATAATGTGAAGCAATGAAAGTTACGTCAGCTTTAAGGGGAAAGATCTGCCTACTCTCTTGACCAGGGAGGAATATTTTTTCCCCCTCTTGAGAGCCCCTGAGCAACCAAAGGGAAGATATCAATTTTGAAAATTATTCACAGGAAAAAATCAACTTTAAGTAATTTGACAGAATATTTAATTTTGAGAGAAATATAAAATGTTCAATTCATTCAACTTAAAAAAATAAAGAACAAGAAGTATAAGTTTTAATTTTTTTTAATGACAAAAAATATAAGGTAAAATATATACCTCAGGTTAAAATATGATCAGTTAAGCAAGGAAAAATACAAAGGAATAGAAAAGAAGTGGGGGAGAGAGAAGAGGAGACAGAGAGTAGGAGCACCAGAGAGATAGGAAAGGAAGAGAGAGCATCAAAAGGATAAAAAAGGGAGAAATTAAGGTAAATAGTTTTTCAAGGATTGACGTTCATGTTTCCACCGGATTTTAAGTAAGTTCTGGCAGCAAATGTTCTTCTTAGGATTTATATTTAGCTTAAGATAATTAGCCAAGTGGCTTACAATTAATGGAAATAGTTTGGAATCTTGTCTGGAACAAGATATAGTATAAACTATATCAATTGCTACTATTTTAAAATTATTATTCAAAGAATTTACACATAGTAAAAATGGACTTATTTGGTATACGGTTCTAACATTAGTATGATTTCATGTAACTACCATCACAATCAGGATACAGAACAATTCCATCATGCCAAAAAACTCCTTTTTGTTCTTCTTTTAGCCAAACCCTTCCCTCACCCCAACCCTTGGTAACCACTGATCTGTTCTCTGGTCCTATAGTTTTACCTATTCCAGAATGTCATATAAATGGAATCAGAAAGTATGTAACCTTTTGAGATGAGCTTCCTTCACTTAGCATAATGTCACTGAGATTCATTCATGTAGTTTCATGTATCTTTGGTTCATTCCTTTTTATTGCTGAGTAGTATTCCATTATATGGATATACTGTGGTTTGTTTATCCTTTCATTTGTTAAAGGACGTTTAGGTTGTTTCCAGTATTTGGTTATTTATGAATTGAGCTGCTATTAACATTCACATGCAGGATTTTGGGTGAACATACGTTTTCATTTCCCTAGGGTAAATACCTAAGAGTGGGATTGCTGGGTCATATGGCAAGTGTATGTTTAACTTTATAAAAAATTTCCAAACTGTTTTTCTAGTATGGCTGTAGCATTTTGCATTCCCATTAGTAACGTATTAGAGTTCTAGTTGGTTCACATTCTTGTCAGCATTTGGTTTTGTTCATTTTAAAAATATTTTTTAGCCATTTTATTAGGTGTTTAGTGGTTTATTATTGTGGTTTTAATTTGCATTTTACTAATGGCTAAAGATGTTGAACATCTTTTCATGTGCTTATTTACCATCTCTATATCATTTTTGGTAAAGTATGTGTTCAAATTATTCCACCAGTTTTTTTAAATTGGGTTGTTGTTTTCTTACTGTTGAGTTTTGAGAGTTCTTTTTATATTCTTGATAACAAGTCCCTTGTTAGATATGAGATCTGCAAATTTTTTTCCCCATTTGTAGCTTGTTTTTTCACTCTTTAAACAATGTCTGTCACAGAAAAAAGGGTTTTAATTTGGTTAGAGTCCAATTTATCAAAAATTTTTAACGTACTGTGTTTTTGGTGTTATGTCTAAGAATGCTTTGCCTAACTCCAAATCATGAAAATTTTCTCCTATGTTTTCTTTTAAAAGTGTCATAGTTTTATGTTTTACACTTAGATATATATCCATTCTGAGTTAATTTTTTATTGAGATATGATTGACATATAACATTATATTAGTTTCAGGTGTACATGATGATTCAATATTGGTATATATTGCAAAATGATCACCACAATAAGTCTAGTTAACATCCATCACCATACATAGTTACATATGTTAGTTACATAGTTGCCTCTGGCAACCACCAAACTGTTCTGTGTAACTATGAGCTCTGTTTGTTTGTTTTTTAGATTCCACATATAAGTGAGATCATACAGTGTTTGTCTTTCTCTGACTTATTTCTCTTAGCACACTGAGTTAATTTTTGTATAAAGTGAGGATTAGATTGAGTTTCATTTTTTTCCATATGGATGTCCAATTGTTCCAAAACCGTTTGTTGAAAACTATCCTTACTCTTTTGAACTGCCTTTGCACCTTTGTAAAAAATCAATTGGCTATATTTGTATGGCCAGTGGAATCTAATTCTGGACTCAATTCTTTGCCACTGACCCGAGTGTCTGTTCGTCTGTCAATACCACACTGTCTTGAGTAATGTAGTTTTATAGAAAGTCTTAAAATCAGGTAGTATAATTCCATCAGCTTTATTTTTCTTTTTCAAAATTGTTTGGCTATTCTAGTTCCTTTGCCTTTCCACACAGTTTTAAAATCGGGTTTTTTTTTTCCAATTACATTTTCTTTTTCTTTTTTTTTTTTGCGAGGAGGACTAGCCCTGAGCTAACATCCAATGCCAGTCCTCCCCTTTTTTCTTGAGGAAGATTGGCCCTGGGCTAACATCCGTGCCCGTCTTCCTCTACTTTATATGGGACGCCGCCACAGCATGGCCTAACAAGCAGTGCGTTGGTGCGCACCCAGGATCCGAACCTGCAAACCCTGGGTTGCCACAGCGGAGCGCACGCACCCAACCGCTGTGCCACCGGGCTGGTCCCTACATTTTCTTTTTCATGGTCTGCATTCCTCTCATTTCTCTTAATATTCATGTATATTTCTTTATTACATTTAAAAAATCACATACATTTGATGACTATTTTACTACAAATCTCTGTTATATTACTAAAATTTACATCTCTACTCACTGCAAAACACAAGAAATTTTCCTCTATATATCACTATAATATATAGTTGAGTATAATAGGATAACAAATATGAAGTAGTTAAATCAGGTTTTCTATATCTAGAAAAAGTCATGCTGGGAATTTGATTGGAATTGCGTTGAATTTGTAGATCAATTTAGGGGAGAAACGACATTGTAACTATATTGATTTTTCTAATCCATAAACATGGTATGTCTTTCCGTTTATTTAGGTCTTTTTTGATTTATTTCATTAGTGTTTTGAAGTTCTCAGGATACAGATGTTGCACATACTTTGACAGATTTATATTTAAGTATTTCAATTTTGGGGGGAGCTATTGTAAATAATTTTATTAAAATTTCAGAAAATTGAAAATTCAACTGTTCATTGATAGAATATAGAAATATGACTGACTTTTTAAAAATATGTTTTGCAGTTATGCTAACTCACTGATAAGTTCCAGGATTCTTTTTGTAAATTCTTTGGAAATTTTTTCATAGACAATTATGTTGTCTGCAAATAAGGACAGGTATATGGCTAGGGATTATGATGTTGAATAAGAGTGGTGAGAGTGGACATACATGCCTTTTTCTCCATCTTAGAAGACAAGCATTCAGTCTTCCACCATCAAATTTGACGTTAACTGTGAGTTTATGATAGATGGCCTTTATCAAAATAAGGAGGTAACCTATTTCTAGATGATTGAGAGTTTTTATCTTGAATTGATGTTGAATTTTTTCAACTACTTTTTCTGTATCAGTTGATTTGATCATGTGGTTTTTCTTCTGTAGTCTGTTAATATATTGGATTACACTGATTGATTTTCAAATGAGCCAGCCTTGACTTCTTGGGATAAACTATCCATGGATCATCATGTGTTATTCTTTTCATATATTGCTGGATTTTATGTGCTAATATCTTGTTGAGGATTTTTGCATCTATGTTTGTGAGAGATATTGGAATATAGTTTTTCTTCTTTGTACAGTACTTGTCTGATTTTGGTATCAGGGTAATGCCAGCCTCATAAAATTTGGGAGTTGGGATGTGTTTCCACCACTTCTATTTTCTGGAAGAGACTGTGTAGAATTGATGTTATTTCTTCTTTAAATATTTGGTAGAATTTGCCAGTGAAACTGTCTGGGCCTGAAGTTTCTTTTGTGAAAGATTTTAAATTACAAATTCAATTTCTTTAATAGATATACAACTATTTAGGTTGTCTATTTTTTTCTTGGGTGAATCCTAGTAGTTTGGTAGT